ATACATGGTTCTCTCTCTGAATATTTCAACTGCTGAATTTCTGAGTAGATGGGAAAACGTTTAGCTGATTTTTTGAAAACAGTTCTACCAAGTAAGCCACAATACTTTTCAAATCCTTTGAATTTGTCTTCTTTCAAAACCAAGTTTTCAGTAATCCTTGAAGGTTCTTCTTGTTGAATCAGTACAAGAAGATCTAGAAATCTACAAGCCACATCTGATTCTTGTTTTTTGAAAAGATCCCTATCAAAAATCAATTTTTCATTGAACTTGCACTTCTTCCCAGTTGAAGAGTACTTTTCAATTCCAATCGAGCCAGGATAAGTTGTTTTTGGATCTTGAAAAATATTTGTGTTAAAATTTTGTGTGTGATCAAAACAAATGGAATTGAGGTTTTCTATACTTGGATTTCTCGATTCTTTGCTGTATGAAGCAATGGTTTTAAAATGGCTTGGGTCAAACCTGATTTCAGGATTTTCAAATGAGCTTATTTCAGGCTTTTCAAATGAATAGTATGGAAGTTGAGAAGATAAGTCAAAATTTATGGAATGGAGCCAAGGAAAGATGAGACTACTTGAATGATTGAGGAATTCTGTAGACTGAGGCAAAAAACTAGTGTCATGATGTACTGTATCAATTCCACTGGAAATTGGTGTATAGATTTCTAGACTTAATTTTCTGCGTTTTGTGGATGGTAAAATCTATTTTCTATAGTTTGAGGAGGTGTTTTATAACTTGCTGTACTTGCTGCAAAAGGGTTATCAGAACAAGTCAGCTCATGATCATGTGAGATGATTCGAAGAGTGTGCTTTGAGACTAATTCCTTGTGGGTTACTCCAAGTTTAGATATCTTCCTCTTGAGATTTACCTGTTGTGTTGGATTTGAATCTGAAGCATTTTCCACTGGCGGAACTGGATGTTTATTTTCTGTTGGAAGTTCTTGATTGACATCAGCATTATTTAAAATGGGCTCTCCTGGGTATACCATACTTCTCATATTATTAATTCCCATGTACTGGAGTGGTTCATAAGTAATAGCATCTTTTTCAATATTTCTATGTGCTTCAGAATGATAAGTAGCAGGAAATTCTTTCAATACATATCCAGAATATTCTTCCCTATCGAAGTTTTGAAGAGGGTGACCATGCGGGGAACCAGGCATCTCACCATTAGGGATCAAACTGTTGAATTTGTTGGATGTAGGAGGATTCATAGACCAATCAAAATGAGCTGCATGCTCATAATTAAAATCTTCACCTGCATCAGAGTTGTTTATGGACAAAGGGAATAAAAGAAGGTATATTGTAAATCTGCTCTTCATAGAATTTGATTTGTGTTTGTGTGATGATTGGTATGATTTTGGATCTTTTTGGAAATGAGCTGTGGATGTTTGTGATGATGAGGTTTAGGGACATGTGATGAAAAGCTGGATCATTAACCCCAACCAAATGAAACCTGTTACATATTTGTTACACTCTTAATTAAATTGAAACTTTTTTTGGGAACAGTAACATTTCTTAATTCACTGACAAGTTCTAGTCATTGAAATGTTTCATTCACTGTAATATTTTTTCATTTTCATTTTCAAGTAAATAAAATTTTACAGTTGCTTCCATTTTCCACTCACTTACAGTTAAACTTTCAACATTTTTTTTTCAAAATTGTAGCTAAGACATGGTTTGGGAGCGATAAAGAAACAATGTATGGCTATTTTTCCTGAAATTCCATGTGAAATCTAATTGGGTCCACCAAAATTTGATCAGATGTCACAAGAATAAGAGTGGGCCCCTACCCCAGCTCAGTTGGGTATACTTGGCTATCCGACCCGGTTTGTCGGAACGCGGGAGGATTTTGTGGGATTTTTACCCAATCCAATATCTTCGGGAATGGACTTGGGAGGAGTCTTGGAAAGGGTCGGAGACCAACCTTTCACCTCCAGCGGTATTTGAAAGCAGAAATGAAGAAAAAAAATGGTGAAGAGGCAGGAGGGCCATGGCCAGGCCATGCTTGAAGCACTCACGGGTGTTTCAGCGGTGGGCCGCTACGCTACACTACGCTACGGTGTAGTATGCCAATTGTGTTTCAAGTATCAAATTGCATAAAGTCACAGTCCAATATGTAGAAAGGCATATATTCTTAGGCGTATTATGGCATAATCACATTCTACGGGTCATTTAACCCATAGTCACTCACTGGAACCAATAGTCTAGCTCCACTCAGTCAAAAGTTATTTGGGATTTAAGTTTTATTTGCATACAAAATGCTTATTGCATAATTCAAACCACAAGTTGGCCTTAGTTTGTTTACATATTCAATATTCATTGCATAGGGTAACCACAAGCTGGCCACATTGTTATGTAGGTACACAGAGAATCTTGTATAGATAGCAAAACCACAATTTGGCCGGATTTTAGGCATATTTGTTATAGGTTAGGGTTAGAACCACAAGCTGGCCATTTATAAATTATAGGTTATAGGTTAGGGCTAGAACCACAAGTTGGCCATTTATAGATTATAGGTTAGGGCTAGAACCACAAGTCAGCCGGGTTGTAAAATAGACTATTTAAGGAGGGGCTTTCCCCCCCTCATTCCAATTTTTCATCATCAGATCATCTCATCACAACAGATCATCATCTCATCTGATCATCAACCAGACAGAACAGAGCAATCAATACATACATTAACCAGTGTGATCTTAATCAAGTGCCCCATTGAGATCATTCAGCCATTGAGAAGCATAGGAAAAAGAAAGTAGCAACCAGTACAACTTGTGATCTTAAACAAGAGACAGTGATCTTAAACCATTGTGCTCTTGACTCAGATTCAAGGAGGAAGGGAAAGACACTTTCAATAGTCACAATTTTTTCCACAATATCATCTCATAAATTCACATTCATCATCAGTACTTACGTCAATCATTTTTCAAAATACATAAACATATAAACAAAACACCTCTTACTCAACAATTTCACTCCAATAGTCTGCTGAATTCCCGTTGATCTAGGTTTGATAAGAGACTGCTACACACAGTTTTCTCTATCATCAGTTTTGCCACAACAATAAAAATAAATTGTTGTGTTAACTCTTGTGTAGTACAATAGAGGGGCAGGTCTTTCAAACCAGCCGTAACAGTTGTTGTAGATCATTACATACGTGATATACCTCATCTGCTATTTCCCCCTCGCAGGACTGCCACCATTCCCAAAGGAGTTCTCACAACGGGCCCATGTAGCGTTAGCGTAGCAGCGCCAAATTTTTTTTTTTTCGTGTAGTGTTAGCGCGTCGCTACGGCCGCTGCGCTACGCTAATTTGTAGCGGCGCTAACACTAGCCATTTTTTGATGTAGTGTTAGCGCGCCGCTGGCGCCGCTACGCTACAGCGTTTTTAGCGGCAAAAAACGCCAAAACCCCGCTAAAAATCGCTGTAACGCAGCGTAGCGGGCAGCTTTTGGCGGCCTGTGCGTGTAGTGTTAGCGCAGATGGGGGGAATCGCGCTAACACTACGCTAAACGTTAGCGCACGTTTTCGCCCCATTCGCGTAGCGTTAGCGCAAAAAATGAAAAAAGCGCTAACGCTACGCCAAAGTGTAGCAATTTTTCGCTACACTACGCTACGCTAACGCTACGGTTAGCGTAGCTGGCCCACCGTTGGTTGTTTGCTGTTGGTTGCAAACCACAAATGTTTGTGACAATGGACCGCTGAGATTTGTGTTGCAATACACCACATGTCGCTGAACTGAGATTGTAATTACATATGCCGGCTCCAACGTTCAAATCATAGGTAAAGATTGGGATCAAGGTTGCAGGCAACCTACTCGGGAAGAAAGCTAAATTTTTTGATGAAAAATCACCAAAAAAAAATCAGCCTAAGGCAATCCGGCAGTCGGTCCCCGCGGGAGGTACCCAATAACCGTCGGATACCTTGCGGGACTAGGAAATTGGATACCCGACCTCGGGTATACCCGCGGGGTATCAGCGCGGGAGGTTCCAGAGGCCTCGGGTATCACCCGGGGCCCAGCCTTACTGACAAGAATCTGCAATGTATTGTTGCCAATTGGGGCCTAATATGAGAAACTTCATATTTATAAGCAAGAGTATATATTTTATTGGCTATGTAGCAACTGCACAGTTTCTTCCACATGTATTTGTTAAATGGTTGGCTGATACAACTTGATGTATTGGACTTTTTTAGGTTATCAACACCATTTTGAAATCCTTTTTGTTTTTGATGCCCTATTTTTTGTTTTTATACTACTCTTAGGGACTTGCTTCGTGTATAGTGAATTACTCTTCAATGTGCACAGAAATGGTCTCTTTCAGTAACCCACCTTGCAAGCATGACTTCCAGGACACAGATTCCATTGATTTCTATTGGGGAAGTGCAAAGAAGTGGCTTCCATACCCTCCCCAAGAAACTCCTTCTGATGATGAAATTAAGGGCAAAAAAGACAAATTATGAAAAAGGGGATGTATTTTTCTTACACCATCTACCAGGTCAATTCTCTCCTTAAAAAATAGTGGTTGGTCACAAAGTGAACCATCTGTTTTGCATAACTGAAGGATATAAGAACATCTAGGGCTAAAGAGTAATTTACTCTTCTTGCTAAGAGTTGCAGCGTACTTCGCTTCACTGCCGCTTTTGTTTGGATACGTCTTCGCTACTTTCTATCTTCCTTCAGACGTGCTAACACGCTGCATTGGCACGTGTGATGGAGTGTTTCCTGGCGTAGAGCCTAAGTGGTTTACCATTCCGGCAAAGGAGGGCAGGGACTTAGTTAAGTTAGGCGTAGACTAGAGCTCAAGCAGCCTTCGACGTTTGTCGAATCCCATCGCTGTTCTTGTTTGCGATCGTTGGTAGGCCTTTAATGATGAGGGGTGCGTTAGTTTAGCGAACTTGCTTGCACCACAACTCAAGCAAATTATTGTTTCAGGGATTCATGCCGAGTGACTCCAACCGGGGAAAACATTCAAAAGGAGAAGAAGACATGGCCCAATTGGGAATCGCATGCCATCAGCTCCATATTCCAAATCGCAGCTGTTTCTGCATGAATCTGTAAGCGAGCCGAAGCCACCGCTCGTCAATCACACTGACAAGACAGCCATCACCACACGATTCTCGCAGATTTCAAGTATCATGCTCCTGGCCGGTACGATCCTAATAATGTTCAGCATTATCAGTCTGCCCGGCGCGTTCGCCGCCGCAACGTTACCCCCGGTCTCCTCATCTACGAAGATTTCGAGGAACGTAGGAGAGCTAGTGGACAAGCGAATAGAAAGCAATATTCAAGAGAAATGGAAAGCCATCCGGGCCGGCGTCATCACCAAGGATCCTGGCAGCCCCCGAGCCACCAAGGTCAAGGTCTTCAAGGATTTGCCTCAGGAAGGAAACAAGATCAGTCGAGTGGCACAAGTCGAGGCCTTGGCAAGCTTCAAGCTGGCACGTGGCCTCTCCCTCACCCGAGACGTCAAGAGCTCCGAGTTGGTCATCTCCAGAGCAAAGAAAGAAGCCTTCAAAGCCATAGAACAAGTCGCGAAAGAAAGATTGAAGGCACGACCTGGTTTAAAGCTGAGTTGGAAGAGTTGGCCATAGTTAGTTACCCCCATCAACACCACCTAAAGATACGCGATTGTCCCCCTTGATGTATTTCAACTGAATCTTGACTTCAATTCACAGGTGAAAATGATTTTTTATTTTTGCTAATTTACACTTTAATCGTTTTAATTTTTTATACATAAATAATTCAAGCAAAAAATATTTCATGAATTTATGAGAAATGAGCAACTGGATTGCCAGTCAAACGCCCTGTCGGTGACGCACAGACAGGTGGGGGTGTTTGGTGTTAGAGCTGATCACCCCGATGAAGTTTCCAGGTATTCAGAAGCAACCGTTTAGAAGGCTGAAGCAGACCTATAAATCAGGAAGACCCATAGATGGCTAAAGAGCACAATCCATTCAATCACTAGAATTGATGGCTCGGAGAAATCAGGACCCAAAAGACTCTGTTGGTAGATCGGAACCTTTTCGCTGCTCAATTCATATCCATCTTTCTCCGCAGAGGTATTTCTTACTAAACAATTCATTGTCTTGGGTTTTAAAGCTGCAGCTTTTACAACAGATGAAAATTGGAGACTTTCCCCCCTGCTATCAACATGTTAATGCACCTTCATCACATTTTCATGTCAATTAGTATGATTCTTTCCAAAAAAAAAAAAAAACTACGATATGGGTTAGCTTCGTAAGATCCATTGATTTCACCTATCAGAAATTTATCACATTATCTGATCAAATGCGAGGCAAGTTAAAACCATGTCATTTCCTTAGCTGGTAGCAATGCTGAGGATCATGTAAAATGGCATTTTCTGTTACAAATCATGGAAGGGGATCAGTGACAGGTTGCCTCATCTTGACCCAGGGATAAATCCTTGGATTCCGGGAGATCAATACTTCACCTCTTTTGTCAAACGTAAGGCTGAGAATATTTTAAATCCTCCTCAAGACTTCACATTGAAGAAAATTGGGGAAACAAAAGTTTAGATTGTTGAAATGTTCTGAAAAATGCGTTGGGTCTTTGGGATGATGTAGAGGATGTATTATAGTGCTGATTTCATATTCCCTGATGATGGAAAAATGGAATCAGTCTGACTGTATGGGTTGATTGTTGATGAAGAAGCCTGATTTTGAGGGACCTCTTCTGATCCGCCTTGATCCGCCCCGGAGGGTCCCCGTCCGACAAGAGGATGGCCGGTCTACTGGGAGGAGGTGACGTCAATGAGGTGCTCCTTGGATTGCTCGATGGTCACGAAGGGAAGAAAGACAGCAAGAACCATCCTCGGCTGTTGACCACCACCCAAAAATCAATGGAACCCGCCCAAGCTAGCACCCCACCTTCATCGATCGTCGTCTCCTATCACACTTCACCCTCGCCCGACGTCTGGGGACGCATACAGGCCGACCTCCATCGTCAACTACCACTCAAGAACCTCCACTGGAAACCTAAGAATCGACCACTCAGAGTCATCCCTTCTGTCCCGATATCATTTCAAGCTTTCGATTCCACTCAACCGGCATCCTCCGCTTCACCCCCCTTCGTTTACCTGCTTTTCGTGGCTTGTGATGTCAGTCTGTTTTTTTTTTTTTTTTTTTTTTGGGAGGGGGGCTTCAGTCTTATTCTCAACACTAATATCTGTTACCGTTTGAATTTATAGGACCACGAGGCATACAAAACCATCATCAAGCAAGAAATTCGAACCTGGTTAGATTCCGTCCAATCCAACCATTCAGAATGGCTCTTAGTCCACGTATCTACCGCACCCAAACATAATCAATCCACCGCTGGAATCTTCCGTACCAAGGCTGGGGTGTTAGACAAATTGAAGGCGGATTTCAATCCACAAAAAACGGAAAGGTACCCCCTCCTGTTTTTTTAGAACTGAAATCCACGGGGCAGCGCGCATTCGATCGAATTGATGATGAATTGTCCATTTGTCTTTTCGGGTTAATCGATCGTTTGGAGATGTATTCAACTATCATACATGAGCACGATGGATTCAATCGTCCAGGCTAGTGTGCACGACTCGTCTACCCAATGGACAGAACTAATCACCAGGCTCAAACAATCTTTACTCTTGGTCTTTGAATTCAAAATCAACGAAATGGAGGAATCCTTACGGACGATGGTTTCTACGAGAAGTCGACAGGGCTGGGATTTTCAATCTTTTTTTATCCAAAAAGTAAGCCCCATAACTCATTCATTTGTCACATCAGTTGCTTTTTTTTTGAAAAAAAAAGTGACTTGTGTCGAGTCACCATTTTTTAGGCCCAGTTAGCAAATCAGTTTGAGATGATGAATCTGTTCGAGGATGGTTTGATCCAGTACGATGAACTAGATGCAGCATTCTCACAATCACTCTCAGGTCAGCCATTGTTCGTGAATGCTCATTATGCTTGTCACGGTTTATTTTTTAGCCCTTTAGGGTCCTAGCATTATCACTGAACAAACCGATCGTGCGCGCCGGCCTTAGATTGCCCACAAATTTGGCACGATAAGATATGCGGAAAAAGCTCGAGTCAATATTCCAGACTGGCTCTCAAAACTGATGCCTCGAAGGAGTATCTCGAGGTGGTCAAGGCAGGAAAAATGTCGATTTTCGACTTGAGGATCTACGTGTTTTCTAAACAAATAAACTTGTTGGGTAGACTGAGTCGATTAGACGAGGCGATCAAGAGAGCATCGGTGTTCATCTCGACCTTTGCAGCTTTTCTCAGATCCCATGAGGTCAGTGGTCATCTTTTGTTCAAGTCGCCTCCAATTCGGATTCAGTAACCAACAATCACCCATTGATTGCAGCATAAATGGCCGGCCAACTACATAGAGTCTTGGGTTTATTGTGCTTGTAATGAATTAGTTGAATGGTGCGAAGAACGGATTACTCCAGGTAACAAAGATACCACAACCTTAGACAGCTTGAGATGTTGTGCCCAACTTCTCGAACTGGCCCACTCTCAGGTTAAGTGAATGATCTGGCTCCACCTGTTGCTTCATTTGATACTCTCTATCTGATACACTTAAGCACGCAACTAGCTCGACCGAATCGGGATCGAGGTTGGCCATCTTCCAGCGATACATCCTTTTAACATGTCATTGGGTCAACCGCAAGAAGCCAACTCTGACCAAGCGAGATCCAATTTATCACCTGCAATTACATCGCCAGCGAATCTGATAGATTCCCTTAAAGACTCGAAGAAGTTCGAAAAAGTTTACCTTGATCTAGCTCGGCGGACGATAAACCTCTATCAATCCACCGGTCGACGCCGTTCGGCTCTGAAGCTCCACTGCAAAACCGCGGCATTTGAGCAGACCCAAGCGCGTTCAGAATCTGCCCATCGACTATACTCTCATTTGCCGGCCCATTACGTTGATGATAAATGGACGACAATCGAGTCGAGCCTGTTGGATCGATGCGCAAGCCTACAGAAAGAGCTGGGATTGTCAAGAGAATGGTTGCTTAGTACTTTAGCACTGGTCCGTTCAGGGGTCACCTACGAGCCGGGAAAATGGTCACAAGATGTCATGCTCCGATCGGCGACTGCTTCTCAACTTGACAATGCAGATCCCGTCGACCAATCTGCTCTGGCCAGTAAACTCATGCAAGATATCAGGGAACAGTCTCTGAAACTCGAGAAAGACTTTGCTGCTATAGGCTTTCCCATCTTCTCAATCACGCTAAACTCCTCTGTTGGTCGGCTCTCTGAAACTTTTGAAGGATCAGTCGTTAAAGCAAAAATCACCAATGTTTTACCATGTGTAAGTCGAAAACTCAAATGATTACTCACTGTGTCATTTTTTGTTTTTCTTCCCCCTTATTTTTTGGATGATGAAGATAGCCGACTGAAGCCTTGGTTCTTGCACTCTGTTTCAAGCCGATTCAAGTTGAAGCGGTTCGAATGAAATTCTCAGGTAGGAAATCTGAGACATTATGGTTCACTGCTCGAGCTTCTCAATTGTTACCTGGCCAAACGACGATCGATTTGTTTTGTGCAGTCAGTTCAAACTTCCAAGCGTCACTTGGCCTCATTTTTTCCTTTTATTAATTTATTTACACCTCTTGTCCCTTTGCCTTCTTTCCATATTTAAACTTAACAATGATGACTCATCAATCAAGACGCCTGTTGCCGAAATTTTGGTGCTAGATGTCTCGCAAATTCGGATCAGTAGGATCTTGTTTCAATATTATCATCGCCCGCAAGGATCTCAGAATGAAAAAACTCTTGACCAAGAGGCTTTAGAGATTGTTTCATTTCCTAAAGACCTACTGGGCTTAGATGTCAAGCTTGAACTACCTCCCGATAGTAGGCTTGATCTATCCCTCCTTCTTAGTTCTAGTTTGATTTTTTTTAAAAAAGACCTAGCTTCATATTGATTCAATTAATTTTTTTCCAGTTCATTTGGGAGAAGCTAGGAAATGCCTTCTAAGCTTATTCAGCGGTAGAAAACATTTGTCGCATGCTGCGATTTCTATTTCTTCAGACTCGGACATCAGGTTCGAATTCGATGATTCCAGCCTTTGCGTTCATCCTAATACTCGTCAGTTTTCCTTTTTTAGCGTACTTTAGTGTCTAGAAGCAAATGATTACTTACTTCTCTTTGTTCATACTGCAACAGAGGTTAAAATGGTCAACGACTCTGGGAAAAAGATTACCATTGAAACAATTCAGCCAGAGTCGACCGTTTGCTTGCTGATACCTTTCCGTACATCGACAGCTCAACCACTCGTCGAGGTACGTTCTCCTTCTCTCCTCTCAAAATTATTAGAGTGACACAATCTGATAATTTTTGTATCGGTTTCACATAAATCTCAAGGTCAATATAATCGTTGACTATCGACTCAGTGACGATCCGAGTGTCAAGCGGACCTTTCGAAAGTCATCCAGGCTCAAGATCGCCCAGCCCATCGAGGTCAAAATTCGTGAGATCTTTCGACCCAATTGGTACAAGCTTCCGTCTCTATAATGGCCTTTCGTGCCTCCCATTTATCATTACCACTACCGTCCTCGCTCATGCATTGCTTTAACAGGGTGTTTACTAAGGTCACACTGGCTACCCATCGTGGTTATCCATTGAGGATCGCGAGCGCTCGTCTGGAACTCGACGAGGAAACATCGGCTTCCCAGTCACTGCTCTCGATATCACCCGCTTGTGGAAAAAGCACATCAATTGTAAGTATTCCGGCACTACTCTGGGTTTCATTCTTGAGCTCCCCGCTCCCCCGTGCTGCATTTTTTCAGATACTCTATCAGTTGCTTGCTGTTGGACTGAAGCCTGCGAGTCATCGATTGATAGTGATCTATCTGTTTCTTTTGAGCAGGTTATCCTTCCCTCTCAAACTTCAGATCATATCTTTAAGATTATCCCAGGCGCCATCTCCGCTACTTCTTCTCCTTCTGACAGCAACTTCTCCCAGGTCATTGGTATGTTGTCTTCAATGGCGGGTTCTCTTGAGACAGAATTCGTAGTCTCAATTAGGTTAGGTTTGATGTTTTCTTTTGTTTAGATTCTTCTCGGCTGAAATTGGTCGTTAAGTATCGGCTAATTATTGATGGTATGCAACCATTCTTAAAACCTTCAACCACTGCTGGGATAGTCGTCAGGCTTGATTAATTTTTTTTTCTTTGCTTGGAAAAACATAAATAAATTCACATCGATCTATTCATATATATCTAGAAATTGCAGAATGTTTAAGAACTCGATTGATGAACGGCTTGGAAGAAGATCAGAAAAAGGCGATTGATTTTTTAGTCAAACATGTCAAAGACATCATGGCGAACGAAGTGGATTATGATGAGCAATTCTATTCAACATATCTTTATGATCACGTCTTGCATTCGGGGATCCTAATGAAGAAGGTGGACTGGAGTCTGGTCTGTGAGCGGATCGAGAAAGACCAAGCTAAGAAGAGCCAATTGGTCGATCGAATCTGCGCGGTCATTCAGGTTCGTTTATTGAGAACATTAAACTCCCTTATTTCAGCGTTCCTTATGTTGAACTTGCGTTCTTCTTTTTGATCCCCCTCAGGACCCCTCTCCTGTCATTTGTCCCCTTGATATGCCTTGGCAAAGCATCACTCATCCATTTAATTTATCGAAATCAGTCGTCAGTTTCTCTTATTTGTCTTTTTGAAGAAAAAATCGCAGCAGAGGTGTTCTATTGTTCCAACAAACACAGCTCACCGTGATTTTATGTGTATTTGCCCTGAACAATTATGTATTTTTGTGGTGGAGTTTTAGATCTTGACAACGATTGAATATCAACGAGTGTCAGGAGAAGAAGGACAAGTGGGACAAGTGGGCAGACCGATGCCAATCGATATGCGTATCTCGACCTCGTTCAAGTGGACTAATCTGGCACCAAATAGTCCGCCTGTTGGCTTGGTTTATGAACTCGTTGGTTCAGAGGATCAGTGGTTGGTCGGAGGCCGTAAACGAGGAACATTCTTTGCTAGGGTCCGTCCGTACCACTTGTCTTTTTTCATCTTCATTTTTAACATCATCCCTTGCTTACGTGTTCTTCACTGTTGAAAAACAAATGATAGGACGATTCGATCGAAGAGATCACTTTGATCCTGATCCCATTGAGGCCAGGTTACTTAAACCTCCCGCGTGTGACAATCAAGTTAACCGAGACAAAGGACGGCGGATCGATCAGACCTACGACGCCCGCAACCTCCGCACCCACCACAATCAACAATCCTGGAATTGAGAGGAAAAATATGCAACAAGATATTGTCATCCAGTCCTCTTATTCTAACGCCCTTCATCCCTTCTTGATCGTTCCTTCTGCTGCTCCATCCAAGTTCATCATTCCTCCTATCCGCCCCTATCCTACTCTCAAAAATTTGACTTGATACCCCTCACCCTTATTATCTGCTTGATGATAGTATGCATGGCACTCTTGTATTTATCTAGAAAAATGGCTGTTTGTTCAAACCGGTTGGTATTTTTTATGTTTTAAAACCATTCTCATGTTTGATCCATAATTACTTTATCATTATTGTGGATACGACTTTCCCCAGTCACATACATACATATTCTAAACTTTGTTTGGCAAATTGGATTCACAGATTAACTTTTAAGATTATGACACAAAAATGTTTCTGTAAATGGGTTTTGTTTTGACATAAAAAGTGTATGGTTTTTCTATTGGAGGAGAAAACAGTTTGTTAATGCAAAAGTCAAACTGGTCCACAGGACTGACATGAATAAGGAAAGCTGGCCTATCAACCACTTCCTGGCATATGTGTATCTATTTCCCCCAGTACCCCATTCACCTGTCAGTAGCGCGAAGAGATGATGATTGAGCACATTAATCGGACAAGTGGTTTGCAAATTGCAAGAGATGCTCACGGTAGTCTTCCGGTGATCCACATCATATTGGATTTCGCAACAATAGCAGAACTGGCCATGTATCTGCGCAGGTAGATTGAGATACCGAGGTAATGCCCACTGTCCAAGTCCAGATTTGCTGAATGCTGGTGAATAATGTGGGGGGGTCATTAACAGGGGATATTAATGTGAAAACTCAAACTCACAGTGATACATTCCCTGGGGTGCAAAACCACATGTTGTAAAAGGATACATGGTTTTTTTTTTGCCGCAACGGAATGGATGGATTGCGGAAGCGAAATGAGCAAAAGCGACTAGATGAAGGGAATCAAAAACTACACCATTGTGAGGCGGAGCTGAAATGACTGCGAAATAATGACTGTGATATAGCAGCAGGTATTGCGAGGAAAATGATCAGCGGGCTGTAGTTAGACTGATCAACAGACTTCCTAGAGAAAATTAGATCTAATTAGAAGGAAAAACTTGACGATACAACAAGATCTTGACATTGAATCTAAAGAAAACGTCTGCAAATTGCAAATTGTCGTTGTGGCAGTGGGACTGGAGCTCTAATACTGAATTGCTCGTCTGCCTTTCCCGACTTTCGTATGAGCTTGTAAGTAAAGCTTTCTTGTCAGCGCGTTTTACATAGTCATGAGATCATCCACGGACCAAGGCCTCTGATGTGCAATGATGAAAACGTCGCGCTTTTCGTTACCGGCGATAAGTTCGGCTTCAGCTTGAGGAACTTTATCCAAAAGACCATCACGTGGAGATTGTATTCTAGTTTTTCGTCATCCCCCAAACGATCTCCAAGTCACATCCGTCGGTTTTAACTACAAAATGAATTCTAGTTTTTCGTCATCCCCCAAACGATCTCCAAGTCACATCCGTCGGTTTTAACTACAAAATGAAGTTGGACAAGAAGTAACTCCATTGCGCGTGCCTTTGTGGTCGTCCACTGATGAATTGACCTTCTGCGTCCTCATGCTGATCGTTGTGTCCCCCTTTCTCTAACGTTGATCCTGGGGCTGTGCACTCTTGAACGTCATGAAGTTTCTTTGTCTAACGTTGACATGGTTCCTGAGGGATTATCATGCGGGATGTTTCATGTTTGCCTGAATATTTTAAAACTGGAACTTGCCCTCGCCGGTGCTTGCCCTCATTTCTTTCCGCACACGCTGCAAATTTTCCTCGCAATACCTGCTACTATTTCACAGTCATTTACAGCTTTCCTCACAATACCCGTTATTTCACAGTCTTTTCAGCTCCGCTACGCAATGAAGTTTTGGAGCCCGATCATCTTACTATTCACCTTTTCTCATTTCACTGCCGCCATCCAACCATTCCATTGCGGCAAAAAAAGCTTGCATCCTTTTCCAACGTGCGGTTATGTGAACCAGGGAGTGTATCACCGTGAGTTTGTGTCTTCCCACTATGAATCTCTCCCTCCCAAAGCACACTATTCACCAGTATTCACCCGATTTGAACTTCGATAGTCGCTCCTAGCTCAACATCTCAGTGCGCGGATACCCAGATATGTTATTGTTGCCATATCCAATATGGGACTTGGGCGGCCACCGTGAGTCTCTCTTGCAAACCACTTGGCCAATTACAACCCTAACATTTGTTGAATCCTCATGCATTTGGATTCTAGAGCCCCAAAGAATACGACAACGAGCTCAGAACCCAATGCAAACCTGCCTTGTAAAGCATTTTGGAGCAGCAGCAGTCACTGCTGATCAGTTGCCGGTTGATTTTCACCATGTACCCGATTTCTTTGTATCAAGCAAACCATGAATTGAGCAATAGTTACTTGTATGTAGACAGCATATCATAACGGGCACCGGAATTTTACAAATCATCTTTTGCAGTCGTTAACGATTGCAAAACAAAAAGATTGTAAAATCCCACACATGTGGGTGGATTGTGCAATTTTACCAACCATGGGCTAAAATTGTTGAGTTGCAAAAAGATCTTCTGCAAAAGATCAGTCGGAAGAATCGCCGGTCAGCCCAAAATGTACAGTTGCACTAGCGAAGTTTGACTTATCATATCACTTGTAAGTCTTCCAGCCTGCAAAAAAGCATCCCAAGGGAGAAAGATCCAGATTTGCAAGTGATAAATTTGCGACCGAGCAAGATGCGCAAAATTTGATTTGTAATATTAGTTCACCAGACTTAAGACTGCAATTTTACAAGTCATCTCGCATTTCTCTCTCACATTTCTCAAGGCAAGGTGCAGCAGGGGTCGGTGGAAACAACTATCCTTATGCACAGATAAGGAGATGAAAAATTAGATAACAACAAAACATAAATCAAGCAGAAAAACATAAAAAAACAAGCAATCAGTGAGAAATCATGAAAGAGAAGGCCCCACTAGGTCCTACTGAGTTGATTTCTTTGCTCTAGTGGATCTACGTATCTTCTGATTCCCATTGTTGGCAACCTCCTGTACGCCAGAGGGGTCAGTCAGGGTTATTTGCCCATTGGCTGAATTTTGGGCCGGAGGTTGAGTAGGTGGGATGAGCCGCAATCGGAATGTCAGTTTTGGCTTCTCAGCGGTCTGAGAGGGTCTCTCAACATTTGCGGCAGGCATCTCAGCAGGTATTTCGGCAGGCATCTCGGCAATTATTTTGGCAGGCATCTTGGAAGGTATCTCGGTAGGTATCTCGGCAGGTATCTCGGCAGGTATCTTGACTGTATTGGGTTTTGTGGTACCGACTTTCTTGGGTTTCCATGGCCCTTTTTTCTTTGGTTCAGCTGGTCCTAGTGATTTTGTTGCAGCCACTAGTTTCTTGAATCTGGTTTTCTTTGTTTTGTTTTTCTTTGATTTGGTTTGGGTTTTCTTTGATTTGTCCTTTGGGTTTGAATTCTTTGGAATTGGAGGCTGAGTGAGGCTGTTTTCTTCTTTGTGAATACCAGCCAAGTCTGATTCAAACACTGCAAAATTGTCAAAGTTGACCTTGGCGGCGACAAGGATTTTTGGTCCTCTTGAACAAATTCTCCATCTGGGATGGGTGGCTTTTTGGACGGAGGAATGGCTAGAGGTGTACCAGAATCAGAAGCGCTTGAGAGGATGTTTTTCCAGCTCTGGAAGGGTAAGTGTCCAGGTTGATCAGGGTTACTGTTGGAAATCCTTTGGATTGCTTTATCAACATAGTCTTGTTCCAGGGTGGTCCAAGTTTGGGAATAGATGACCCAGCTTGTTGAAGGGTCAGGGCCAGCAAGTGAGCTTGGGAAACTGCTGATTAAGCAAGCATAGCCATTGTTTTCCATATCATTATGCAACCAGATCCCAGTGACGCCTCCCAAAGTCCGCAGAACTTTGGCCCAGTAGTGTGAATTTGCCCAGTAACCACGAGCAAAGAGAGTGTAGTTGCTTCCACCAATGGTAATTTTGAAAGGCCAGTTAGTTTGGTCCAAGAAGTTGTTCTGGTCAGCAACATTGCCAATGGCCATCACATTCATGTGGAAATGCAGGTGAAGGGGTGGCTCGGCTTGGTCAAACTTGAGAAGCCATGTATCATATAAATGATGGAGGCTGTTGGGTGTGGACATATTTTTGGTGAAAAGATTGATATCAGAATTAACCTTCTTCATTGCGGGCTTCTTCTTCAGAACTGGTTTTGTATTGGTTGGCTTGGAAGCTGTGCATTCCTTGCATATCACCCCAGAAAGCGTTCAGATACCCGTGGATTGCCAAAGTTGAATCAGCTTGGCTACATCATCATATGGGATCCTGTTTTCCCCAAACATTGCTGGAGAAATCACCAAGACGTGGAAATATTGTTCTTGCCAAGTTGGGTGAGATTGTTCAACATCTGGCTGGGCCTTGCAAGTGAATTTACGCCGTTCATTCACAACAAATAGCTTGCCAGGCTGAGTGCTCTTGTGGAGTTTGGGATTTAAGGTGACGTCATTGTCTGGATAGTTCTTGGATGAAAAATCAGAAATCTTGCTCTGTTCTTGATTGAGGATTGATTGGATTGTCCCCTTGAGGTTCAGTTCATATGTTTCTTGGGAGGTGAAATGCTGAACGAGATAGGAAAAGAGGTTGTTTACTGTGCCATTGATACCCCGAAGCCACAAGGGGCTGAACACAGCGTATAACGTCTCTAGAGCGGCGGCCAGCCAACATCGATTGGCACGAAGTGGATTCTTAGCGCTGGAAATAGCATGGTACGAGGGGTAGGTCGAGTACTGGTTCTTGTCAAAGTTGGCTGAGTTGAGTGGCCGGCCCAACTTGACTTTCTTTGAGAGACAGAGCATCCGTTGTATCTGGTGCCTGACCGTCGTTTGCTGACTCGTGCTTTCTCTTGCGTTTTGCGGGGAACCCCATTGACACCCCAACATCCTTGACCTTTTGTGATCCATACAAGATTGCAACTCCTTTCATTATGTCCGTCCAGTCCTCTTCAAGTGTTTTAACAAAGGAGAAAAGCTCAACCATTCCAACATAGAGACAAAATTTCCCCACACTAAACAAGAACCGAGCATTAGCAATGGAACAACCAACAACCGAAGAGATTGTACATACGTGATCTTGTAGTATAGACAATGCATACTCTCTTGTGCATTAGTAGTGTCAGGGAGTTTGTCGCGTCTTCAACAAAATATCATTCCCTCAACATCAGCATGGGTCCACCAGTCCAACCATTTCTTGACCTTTGGGTATCAGCGGTAGAGCGCATCAACCTTTTCTTCATGTGTAGGTCCATTGGGTTCCTCTAAGTCCATCAGAGCAAGGCAAGCTTGCCAAAATGGTTCTGGATAAATTGGATTTGCAGATAAGTGGACACACCCACGTACAAATCTATTTTAAGAACAATATGTACTCACCTCCTCATGGGCCTGGATGACTGAGCGATTCCGCTTCACTCAAGTGATTGACTGTCGAAAGTGCTCCCGACACCCCTTCAACTTCGACTTTGCTGCCTGCTCATCCGGTTTGCAAAAGACTTTGATGTACGCAGAAACAAATCCTTTAGCTTGGGCCGCGGAGAAATCCACCACCTGGCATGCCAGGGCATCCCGTTCAAGGTGAGTCATCGATTGATTGAAAAACTGTTTGAAGAAAGTTTTGAAATGTATTTTGTAATACTCCTTGCTCAAAAATTGCAACCATGTGAATTGTACTGGTATCCAACATCCCAGTTCTTCACAATACATGGACCTAGTTAGAAGGTACCCGTTTGCAAATAAGTGGTACGTAACATCTGAGAGAAATCTGCCAGAGTAAAGTGCATTGTTCTTGTCTCAAGCCAACAAACGATTGGCCATCCAAGGCGTCTGAAATGTGAAATGCTCTGAGTTTGGCAGAAACAATGATGATATGACCAAGAGACCCTGTCTGCATTTGTTGTGGAAATTTCAGTAGGTACATATTTATGGCGAAGGGGATATGAATAGGATGGACTTATGCGGCCCATGCAAACATGTCCAAAATGAACTTATCACCAATCCTGCCCCTGATCTCATCTGGATTTAATCCCAAGGCCACCAACATCTTTTGCCTGTGGTACACCTTTCTGTGGGGGATTGATGGGTGGCATGAGTGAAGGAGATGGTGATGGGAATGGGTGTAATGAGACGTACCGTTCTTTGTGTCCATATGCCGGGTGGATGGTGAAAACTGACTGAGATGGTGCATTGGGGTCAACCCCTTTCTGTAGCTGTGACCACGACATCAATTGAGATCAGCTGATAAAAAAATCAAAAATGCTATATTTACCTTCAGCTTGAAAGCCCCAGCTTGTGGGTTCTTTTGAATCTCTCGAGCAAAATCCAGTTGCAAAAGGGGGTCTGGCTTCTTAGCCTTGGGCCACAGATGCGAATGGTCGCTGCTGTGCCTGAGAAGACCACAACCCAATGCATGTTGTCAAATCTTACCTGGGCATGATTGCACTTGCTGTGTGAAACATTCCCTAAGCAATCACCAGAGAAACCGGGGCACTTCATGGGCCTGGGATATCAAAAGAATGATTAACATTAAAATTAGTAATAAATTTGTCATTATTCCAGCTGAAAGCTTAAACCTTATTCTGATTGAGCTCTTCAAGCTTTTGTTCATCAGTGGGTGGGGCACCGGCCCAGTTGCAATCCGGGTTGTTGCAAGTCATAGCCCCAAGGCAAAAATACCAGGTGAATTTCCAGCAATTGTTTCTGCCTCGGCGGTTGGATGAAGAAGTTCTTGAGTATCCAACCATTCCAAAGTTTGTGATGTCATCCTTGGGAAGTCGCAAAAACGTAGTGTTGCCGTTTGGATACAGAGGATATCCTTGCTTGTCAAGGATACAACCATGATCAATGTATGTTGTGTATTTTTTTTTCATGTCCGGTAAGAACCATTTCTTTGGGGTTGATTTCTTCTTTGCGGCGGACAGCTCGTATTCTCCAGATGCAATGTTAGGATGTCAGCGTCATTGGAATCATTGGGATCTTTGCCTTGGGAATTGTGGGGATCAAAGTATTCGGAATCATCTGATTTGGCAGTATCCTGGTTGGGGTTGTTAGCAGCAGGGGTCTTGTCTTGGAGGGTTGTACCACATGATTTAAATTGAACCTGTGCCATTGTAGACGTCAAGAAATGGGAGCAAACTGAAAGGATGAGGGGGGGGGGGGCAGAAGACGTAGTGGGAGATAAGAAAAAGCATACAACTGACGGGGGAAAGTAGATATTGACATATTGTTCAAAATAGAGATGGTCAAAGGATATCCGTTGTGGATATCCGCTATCCGCCAGTGCCAATGGATACCCGCCAGCGGATGCGGATGTCCCCTTTCCCCTGAAATCCTGGCGGATATCCGGGTATCTCAGCGGATATCCGCCCATATAGGAGGGAAAAAAAGAAAAAGAAAAGAAAGAAACCAAAGAAAAAATAAAATAACAAATAAAATAGGGCATTAATAAAAAAACCCGCATTTTCCGTGTTTTGACGCTGTGAGAACTCCTTTGGTAATGGTGGCAGTCCTGTGAGGGGGAAATAACAAATATGATATTGCAACTTGTTTGATATATATTGTTACGGGTGGTTTGAAAGACCT